TTTTTTTCGATGGGGCTATATGAAAGGACAGGTCTCGTTTTTTACAAGACTCGAGGAACTTAAGTAGAGAATCACTAAAATGCTACTCATAATACATTGGGGATAATTGCAGAAATTAAAAAAACGTATTTATGAATAGAAAATTTAAATTCTTTTACTTTGTGATTAATTTATGTCTTATAATGTGACGTTATGAATGTAACCGTTTGTTTTAATTGTTTAACATTTTTACAGTCGTGTATATCGACTTGGGAAAGGATCATTTTTCAAGAATTGAGATATTTGAAAAAAATCTGGGTCGCAGTTTTATATTTTGAAAAGTTTCTATGGCGGCACTTTCGAGAAATTTCCTTCTAAGTTACTTTCTCTTTTAATAAATGTAGAATTCTTTTAGATAAAAGCTGCGGTTGAATTTATTTCTATGTATAATTAATGCATTTGATAAATTGTTGTGTATAAGATCCCCTAACCTAGACATTTCAGTTAACCTGATTAATATTCATGAGCGTTTCTTAATTGAAAAATGTTGAAAAACTAACAACATTTATGCTCTTGTCTATAAATATTGGTTACAAAATAAAATCCTTACATTTGCCTTGATAAAGTTCATCAAAGGACGAAACGCGTAGCCTAAAGTGAGTTTTTCCTTTTTAATTTATTCATTTATATATATATATATATATATATATATATATATATATATATATATATATATATATATATATATACAGTGGTCCAAAAGTAGATGGACAGTAAATAATTACATTTATTTTGAGATTACATATACATACAATTATATTTACTAACACAATTATTACAATGACAATTAAATTTTATTGTGAACAATAATACAAAACCCCTTAAATTTTATCAACGCAGGTGATCAAACTATTTTCCATCAGAATTTACAAAGCTTTGAAGTCTACCTCTAACGCTTCGACAAACTTTTTTGCACAAGTCTTTTTGGGTATTAATTTCTTGAAATGCATCTCTTATGTAATTTTACAAATCACCGACACTTCTTGGTTTTTGACTATAAACTTTGTCCTTGAGTACTCCCCAAAAGAAGAAATCCATTGGGGTCAAGCCTGGTAAACGTGCCGGCCAATCCATTTCTCAGGAAATATTTCAAGATACTCAGTTGTAATAATATAACCGATACCACATACTTTTGGACCATTTATATATATATATATATATATATATATATATATATATATATATATATATATATAGAAATTTTTATGGTGATGTTATAACATGCATATGTTATAATTTAGAATAAATATTATTTGGTCTACATTGTACTGAACACTCTTTTATTTTATTCTGCCTATACCAACCACGTACTTGGGTATATATATAACGTCAGACATTATGAAATGGAAAGAAATTCGACAATTATATGTTTATACATTCTTTTTTATAGATACAAATATTTAAGTAAATGGTCTGTTTATAATAAACAGTATTAAACATTTACTGGCCTGAATGTCCGAGAAATTTTAATAGAAAATATGCATCTACCGACCGGATTCGAACCCGTATCCTATACGGAATCGTCATTTAGTTTAACGGATTTACCGATTTAGCCACAGTAGAGCGTTTCGGTTAGCAAGGTCGATTTTACTGTTTTTAAACTACAATTCTCCATGATTTTAGAATGGTAGTTTAAAAACAGTAAAATCGGCCTTGCTAACCTATCTATGAAAATTTCTCGGATATTCAGGCCGATTAATGTTGTTTATTATAAACAGAGAATTTACTTAAATATTTGTATCTATAAAAGAACGTATAAACATTATATATATATATATATATATATATATATATATATATATATATATATATATATATATACGCAGTACTTATTGGAAAATGTCTTAATGTCAGTGATAAAGCTAATATTATTCACGGGTTTCACGCTTTTGCAATCATCAGACAAGTTTATCTGCAGATCGCAAAAGCGTGAAACCCAGGGTCAAATCTCATATCCATACAACTGAATATATATATATATCTATATATATATGGAAAAAAAGTGAGAGAGAGGGTGAGAGAAATATATAATGATACAAGTTAGATATCCATATAATGCTGCCTCACTGAATGTATATGTGTGCTGGCATGTCGATATTTCGTATATATATATATATATATTATATATATATATATATATATATATATATATATATATATATATATATATATATATATATATATATATATATATATATATATATATACAAATACATTTAAATAAAGAATTTTAAATAGGCATCTAGCATAAAAGTCAAAATTCTTTATGGAGACTTATTGATCGTTGATCAATGGATTAGAATAATTTTCAAAGTTTTCAATCGCCGAAGGCATCTCAGCACGACTTTACACAGATCAAGAGACGCCTGTCTTAGACGCCCTAGGCAGATGCTTAAAGCACGTCATCTGTTTAACTTGAAAGCGTGTCTGACGGTATGCGAGTGCCTCTACTTGTGCACGGGTAACTGTTTTTGTCTGTGCATGTTTGCTGAAGTCGGTGTCTTTGGGTGCTTTTATTTATTTAGATATTCACTAAACGCGAGTTTGTCTGGCACAAGGCACAACGTATGGGCCATGCTCTCTGCGTAGTGTTCAATATACGGTAGTGAAATTCCGCGATAACTTGGTTGGTAAACATTGCATCTCGGCAAGACAACATCTGAGCGAGATTTACTATACTAGCCCTTGTTCCGGAGCAAGGACACCGTTTTCTTCTCTATACCCTGCCACTTCAGGAAGTATTTGATGATGGTTCACCACAACTTCCTATCTCTTTACCTTTTATTTGTCTTTTTGATGCCCACCCACTGCCGTTCCGATATCCGTTGAAAGAAACTAATCAGGTAGGCGCCCTCCTCTTCCTCTTCCTTTTGCCTTCGATATGTCTTGTGAGTGTCAAATTTTCCAGGCCCCACTTCTTCATTATTTTTTTCCCAGAGATTTCATCTGTCTCTTTCTGATTATAAGTATGTCTGTCTTTTTCGTTGCCATTTTCCTTAAGACTTCTTTCTTGGTTACGCTTTCCCACCATGATATCTTCAGCATCCTTCTGGAGAAACACATTTCTCTTGCTTCAGGCCTTCTCTTGATTTGTAAAGAAATTCTTCGTTATTCACTACGTAATAAGAGGATTAATATTATATACCAGTTCAGTATGTTTTTTACGTTTCGTAGTTGTTTTTTTTTTTTTTTTGTTTAGTTTTTTTTTGTTTTGTTTTGTTTTGAGTTTTTTTTTAGGGGGGCTTTTCAATTCACCACAAGCAGGGCGATAATGCCATTAAGACGCAAGGAGCTACTGGGAGTGAAAGAGAACTAAAAGGTTTTAGAATGAACAGGACACGTATTCCTAAACAGGAAACAAGCGATAAACCTCTACTCCTGTTCAAAAGAACGGGGATCAGTATAAACCAGGCGATAGGCGAACTTATCTCCTTCTATTTTTAAAAAATAAATAAGTAGTAAAATAAATAATAAAACTTTTAAAGTTTAGGCGGAGACGTTAAAAGTGTATTGAAACGGAATTTAGAATGAACCAAATCCCAAACCTAAACAGAAAACAAGGGATAAGCTCCCACTCCTGTTTAAAAGAGTTGGGAGGCGTGTGAACCGGGCGATAGGCGAACCTATCCTTAGTTTTTGAAATGCATCTTTTGCTACTCCAATGCTAGTTCAGATGTTGGTATTGTATTTTTCATTCCACTGTTAAAAGTCCCCCTCTCAGATATTTAGACTTCTCTACCTGCTCGATTTTAATGTCTCAAAGTTACATCTTCGGGTTATTCTTTTCTGGAAGGCTAGAAGTCGGGAGAGAGTTTCAAGAGCGAGACTTGCAAGAAACTTTTCGTATAGAACTGGCAGTTACATCGAGCTATTTCAATTGTAAATTGATGTGACCTTGCCGCCAATCGAGTACTGTGCTTAATTCGTAAATTTTAGGTACTGTAGAGGAAAGTTAATGCGAACAATTAGCATGAAATTATTTATAGAAAAGATACAAAGTAATAGTACCATTACCAAAATATTAAAAGTCAGAGAACTGTCCTTATTCACATAAAACAAAAGAAAGAGCTGATCTGCTTTGTAATATGTAATCTCTTATACAAAATTGAATGCTGGGAAGATTAAAAAGATTAAGAAAAGACTGGCAATGTTGTAGTAACAACTATATGGCTCTACCTACAAATGCTGATGATATTATGAACTGTATAGGGGAGGCACGGTGGTGTAATGCATAGCGGCTCGGATTGAGAAATCGGAGAGCCGAGTTCGAATTCCAGCCGAATCCATTACATTCACTTACGAGCTAATACCCTTGGTATTAGTATGAAGTGAAAGTATGAATCCTCTTCTTTCTCCCCCAGCTATGGGTAAATAGCAGGACAAACTGGGTTCTATAGCCTTGGATCTTAACTGGTCTAGGAGAAGGGCAACTCTGAATTTTAAACCTGAAGAGGGTCGTTAAGGGGACTTTATGGCACACTTCAAAAAGTGTGGCTGGTTCTGCACAAGCCTTCACAACTAGAATCAAATGATTTGTGCAGGTAGTCTGGCTATCTGTTTCTAGGAATTGAGTCGCTTGACCCTCATACGGGAAAATCCGGTAATATGTGTAATTAGGACATTTTAAGGAGATAGAGAAACTTCAGTGAAACGTCTCCTATCACAAAGAGAAAGATTGAATTTCTGCGACAGAGAATGAGGAAACACAGCTTGGAAGATTTGAAGAAGAGAAGTCAGATAAAAACATCGAGGAAACTAATCGAAGGATCGATTGAATATATGGTAAAACAAAAAGAGAAACAATACAGGAAGTTGTGGAGAGCCACGATCACCCATGTTCTGAAAGCAAATAGCATCTAAATAAGAAGTAGATATAAATCATATATCCTGAAATATGACAGTACAGAGATTTAAGTGATCAAAAGGCCAAGTGCCACCCCAGTAGACGGCAATGATTTTTTTGACGGCCACATCACGTTGAAACATTGGTTCCCGTACCATCACTGAAGGTAAGCAAAGTCGAGCCTTTTCAGTACCTAGAGGAGTGATCACTTGGGAATACCAGGTGCTGTAAGCATTGATGTGCGGGTGGTGTAACAGATAATAGCTTGGAATTGTTAATCGGAGAGCCGTGTTCCAGTTTCACGTTGGTCTCGTTATATTCACTTAGGAAGGTTATAAATTTACCTATTCTCCCCACCCCCAGCTATGGGTTAATTAGTAAGACATGTATCTCTAAATCATTATTATCTCCAAAATAAATTACAATCTAAAACATATTTTACAGCTTTAAATAACCTGAAAAATGTCGATAAGCAGTAAAAAAAACGAATCAATTTATTAATATGCTGCAATCGTAATAAGAAATGTGGAATTTTTTAAAATCACTAATTGCATAAAATTATTTTATTTTCGTATGCGAAACGTAAACAAAGTAACTTTAAGACATGAATGGTCATTTTCTAAGCGTAGCTTAGATGTGAGATAAGACCGAAAGTATAGGGTACCTAGTGTGAATCGAACTCACTTTCCAGTTGTAACTGATCTAGCGAGACAGGCTTGCTAAACATTACACGATGCCGAAATCTTTTTTTTTTTTTGCTTCCCTGATCGCTCAATCTTGATTTTTTTTTCAAATCTAGTGTCAATTATTATCTATCCTACATATCCTCATAACCTGCCCTCACTTCTTTCTCTTACATCTATACAGCAACTTCATTCAGTATCTGAATGGCTCTTAGGCCTTTGTATTCTGAGACCATTTAAAAACTACGCCAATCTACGATAGTTTCCAGAAAAGATGAAACTGATTAAGTAGGGCTTAAAGCTTGTCCCATTCTTCTTTGCAAATGGTCTTCAGATCCGGGATGACTTTTGGAGATATCAATTGGATTTGTATTTTCAAATAACACCAGATTCTCGATTAGGTTTAAATCTGGGAACTGACTTGGCTATTTCAGAATATTTAGATTATTTTCAGTAAGCCATTTCGTCATAGATTTTGCAGTGTGATTAGAATCATTATCTTGTTGGAAGATCCAATCAGGAGGAAGTCCAAAATTCTCAACGGAAATCATTAAATCTGCTTCCAAAACCTTTTCATATTCTACAGCATTCATCCTACCATTTTTTACTGATATGTTGTCAGTATCTTTTTCAGAAAAACATTCTCAGACCATAATTCTGCCAACACCAAATTTCTCTTTTGGAACTGTGTTCTTTTGTTTGAAGGCATCACCATCTTTCCTCCATACATGATTTCAAGAATCACGTCCAAACAACTCAATTTTGGTTTCGTCTGTCCATAATACTTTTTCCCAATACTGTTTCTACTTATTCTTATATTCACGAATAAATTTCAACTTGACATCTCTGTGTCTTTTCAGTAGCAATGAAGTTTTCCGAGGGAAGCGTGAATTTAGATTGTTCCATTGCTGCTTGTTCGTTTAGCAACACAGATTCCTGATAAAAGTGAATCATACCGCAACACTTGACAAGTAACAATAGGATTTTGTTTAATTTGGCGCATAAATTTCCTCGAATATCGTGAAGAAATCTTTCGTGGAGCATATGTTCTTCTTTGTTTTTCATCAGTTTTGAGTTTTTTATACCTTGCAATGAATGAACTAATGGTAATAAATGGAATATTCAGGTTGTCTGAGATTTTTTGTAACTTTTACCTTCTTTCCAAAGCTTAACAATCAGTTCTTTTTGCGAATTTGTCAATTCTTTACCTCTTGCCAAGATGATAACCTTCTTGCACAAATATCAATTACAAAATGTTCGGTTCATATTTTTTACGCTAAAAATAACTACTGATAATATTATTGGAACATTCTAGAATATGCCACTTGAATAATCTAGAGTATTAAAACAATTTAAAGATTTTAAAATCTGAAATTTGCCTTGTACGAATACTTTTTTCACGCATTAAAATAAATAAATGGGATTTATATCTATTTCGGAACAAACCAAGACAAAGTCAGCAACACTCGGGAAAAAAAGAAGAAATGTCAAATGTGCAAGTGTAAAGATAAAGAAAAACGAAGGGCAAAATGATCATGACGCGCAACCGCGCAGACGGATGCATGCGAGCGAACACACAAACGCAGAAACGAGCGCGTGATGACACGCGTACAAATGCAAACAAGAACACAGAGAATACAGAAGAAAACTTACACCAGTGCACAATGTGCATAAAAGGAAAAATCGAAAAAAATATAGACAGTAAATTGCTGATACCCGCTGAAGTGTGGACGGACAGAGCAGCCTACGAAACTCTGAAGTCGAGATTCTGAAGGTAACGTTAATCAACTAAGAAACAATCTTTTACTCATATTAATCCTATAATATATATATATATATATATATATATATATATATATATATATATATATATATATATTTCAATGAAAAACAGACAACTTTAAGAGTCCATTGGTTATAATTTTATTTCACCAGGAATTTATTTTCCTTGGCTCATCAGACAGCACTTCCAAGGGTGAAAAATGAATTTAAATTTACATATATTTTTTATACACTTTTGAGGGATAGTATTAAGTTGATGCTTTGATCTAACATTGAGCTCTTTGGATTTCATACGAAACTCTGAAGTCGAGCTGCTGAAGGTAACGTTAATCAACTAAGAAACAATCTTTTACTCATATTAATCCTACATATATATATATATATATATATATATATATATATATATATATATATATATATATATATATATAGTGTGTGTGTGCATAAAAATAGTTTTAGGGGGCAGGTTCGTCACTCTAAACAAAAGAGAAAGTCTCTATAAACATTATGACTATGGTAGTTGTTAAATGTACAATTCAGTATATAGTTCCAAAATACAAACTTCAGGGGCGGATTCCTGACACCAAAACATGATAAAAGGCCATTGTTATACTTCCATACAGCAATTCATAATAAATATCCAAAATGACCTTTCCTTGCTTCTACACCCGCAAAATAAACAATAATAATAAATTAGAATAATTTCATTATTGTTTATCTTTTTTATTTTTTCCCTACCCACGATTTTTATTTGGTAACTACCAACTTTTTGGGTTCGTATTGCAATAATCTTATCCGTTGACTCAATACATATTAACGGACCTATATACTTTTATAAACTTACTATTAATAACTTAGTTTACTTTTCGATATCTACTGTATTTTAAATTTATACTCCAGTACTATATTATATTTATAATAATCTTGAACTTTAAATTTAAAAAGAAAAACCTGATGATTGGCGAAGCTATGAAACACTGAGTCGTAATGCAAACATAGGTATATGTGTCATTATTAATATATACTTCATAGCTGTTTTAAACTACATTGAGCACTGTTTTGTCTACATGATTGATTAAATAGTTATTTGCTAACCTGTGTATGTACGTAATCGCTCATATATATATATATATATTGACCATATCTCTTTTATTTAGATCATTTCTACATCTATCTCTGCCATTCTCTCTCTCTCTCTCTCTATATATATATATATATATATATATATATATATATATATATATATATATATATATAATAATATAATATAAAATGCTCAAACACTGATATTCTATGGTTTATAATTTATTACATTTGAATCGTAATCACGATCCAATTCATCAGACCTACAAATTCAAAAAGCATTATAGTTCTGAAGAATTGGATCGTGATTACGATTCCAATGTAATAAATTATAGCCATGGAATATTAGTGTTTGAGCCTTTTAAATTATATTCTTATTCTGTCCTGGACATTGAGTACTACCTGGATTCTATCCTCTTGGGAATTTATATATACACCACTAATATTATATATATATAAGCTGAACATATTTCTTATATTTTGTTCATACTGTATCTGCCAGAAACATTCTAATATGGACTATTCGTCTACTTTGTCTGTACAAATTTGAATATATTAAGCAGGACAACCTACAAACTTTATTTTTCTCGTGGCACAGACACTATACAATCTTCTTGCCCTTTTTTGCGGCCGATACTTACGTATACTATTGACCATTATGGTATAAATACTAATCACTTTCTTTCTCTTCGTCTAGACTATTCTTAGCTAACGGCGTCATCATGAATGATTTTCCTTTTATTTTACAATCGGGGCTTCATTAAAAGCTGTTCAATCTTTCGACTCTTTTTTTGTAAACTTGTCCATAAAAAGTTTTATTCTTACTTGAATTTAATTAAAAAGGACAGCAGATAAATGTTGAGTTATAATTTTATTTCTTCTTGCAAGATTGACTTATTTTTCGCTTTTTTTCTTTTTATTCCTTCCATATAACTATTTTCTTCACATGCTTTCGTTCTATTTTTTAATCTTTCTTTTTTTTTCTTCCATTCTTTCTTGCATTTTCCATACTTTTTCTTCAGCACTTTCATTTTTCTTTCAAAATTCTTTTATTCGTCTTCACTTAATTTCTTTTTCATTTTTCTTTCCTTCTTTTTTTCTTTCTTTTTCGTTCTTTCTTTCTTGCATTTTTCATGCTTTTTCTTTAGTTCGTTCTTTTTTTCTTTCAAAACTATTTTTCGTCTTTCTTTTTCTTCCATTTTTCTTTCTTCTTTTTCTTTCTTTCCTTCCTTTTCCCTACTCTTTTTTAGCTCTTCCATTTTTCTTTCGAAAATATTTTACTCATCTTCTCTTAATGTCTTTTTCATCATTTTGTTTTTCTTTCTTTCTTTTTTCTTTCATTTTTCTTTCAAATGTTTTTATTCATATTCACATTATTTTTTCGTCCTTTTTCTTTCTTTCTTATTTCTTGCTTTCTTTCTTTCTTTCATTTTTCTTTCAAATGTTTTTATTCCTATTCACTTTATTTTTTTCGTCCTTTTTCTTTCTTTATTCTTTCTTTCTGTCTGTCTTTTATTTTCCGTGCCCTTTCTTCATCTCTTTTCTTTTTCTTTCAAAATTCTTGTACGCCTCTTCATCTAATTTCTATCTTCTTCATCTCTCTACTTTTTTCTTTCTTTCTTTTTTACTTACATTTTAGCCACACCCTCTTTGCCTCTTCCTTTACTCTTTCAAGTTCCTCTCT